ACAGGTGCCGGGGGGGGCGGGGGGGGGGGGCTTCATGAAGTCCCCCCCCCCCCTCGACCCCCCCTCCACCAATTTTCTTTTTTGTGGCAAAAGTAAATTTTGTCAAACCACAGAAATCAGTTATGTGACGACATCGTCCGTCAGGGTCCACGCTCAGACATCACAACACGCCCCCCCGCCGTCTGTTGCTCTGTGGAGACCCCGCCTCCCTGAACCGTCCTCTGAAATCCCGTCCTCTCACAAAAACAAAAACTACAGTTTGACATCTTCCAGACGTGGTGTGGATCAGCGTCGCTGACCGTCTCATGGTTGTGTGTGTGTCGTGGACCAACTGGAGGCTGGCGTCTCACGACGTGCACGTGTCACTGCATGAGCTACAGAGGAACAGTGAGGAAGTGGCAGGGGTCGATTTCCACAGGCACGTGTTACCATCATTTACAGGAAGTGGAAATAGAAAAAAAACAAAACAGAAACGTCCACGGACACAGAAGGACCAGAGCCGCGGGTTTGACAAACCCTGAAAATGTCGTCAACATTAGAATCTGCCGTTTGGACGTCGACTTCAAATACTGATTTAACACCAAGAACTTCCCTCACAGCTGTGGTTCCCAAAGTGGGGTTCGAGACCCCCTGTGGGAGCACGCAGCAGCTGAAATGAAATGACAGTTTGTGACCCTTGAACTTTAACCCCTGACTGGACTGTTGAGTTTTTATTGTTAGAAAGACATTTTTAATTCAAATGAAGATTTAAGTGCGTGACCAGACCGCAGACCTTATGTTGTGAACCAGGGTTTGTGATTTCCAGGATTGTTATTTATTTTAACAGTCTGTATTCAGTGTGTACCTGATCATGGAGTACACACAGTACACACAGTACACACAGTACACACAGTACACAGTGTGGGTTCAGATCAGTGTACAAACAGTAAAAGTTGAATTTATTATTATTATTATTATTATTATTTCTCCTTTTTTTGACATTTCGACTGACAACAGACGTCAGAGTGAGACGGAAAAACACAAATCAGAGCTCACGACACGACACGGACGGCAGAACACTGAGAACCGGGGG